AAGGTTCTGTTAGCATTTATAGGTGATTTCCATGTACTTATAGCATTCCTTTTGTCAAATAGTACTGTTCTTCACACGAAAATAGGCCGCAGTGATGTCCTGAGACGTGAAGTCTTCATTGAATGGTACTATGCTGGAAGGTGCAGCTTCTACATATATTAGATTATTTGTGTAGATCACATTACCCTTCAACTATCCAATCCTCCTCATTATAGCGATATTTTGACACAGTCCGCCTGAAACACTGATCATTGCAACCAATATGCTAAGAGTGTGTCGCAGTCAGATTACATGACGCGGACACCAACATGACTAGTCAGCAAATGAGAATTCCTATCAATCTAGAAAAAATATAACGCAATTTTATTAAAACTTATCGACAAAATAATTTACCATGAGGAATTTCAACCAAAGTGGTGGATAAGTTCGGCTCAAACTGTAGATTTCTATCGAAAAACACTTCTGCGAAAGCCGCTTCTAAAAGCTACTTCGTCGGGAAGAATTGTCATCTCACTTTGATAAGGTTATATAATGTGTGGTACACAGCCACCGAATTCATATATTTAGCGTATCTGATGCAACATCAAGCCAAACAAGTAATTTCAGCTATACAAATTTTAAAAGATGTCCTTCAGATATAAAGATTATGCCTATCAGTGCTGCTTGAATTCTTCATGTGCCTTTATAATCGGGTATGTGAATTCGGGAGAATGAAGAGTGCAGATGACGATGTGATGCCTTATAAAAATTTGAAAAATTTAATTAACTGACTAGTGAACAGAGAATATTCTTTCCGACGACTTTGTGGCTTTCCTCAGTCACGCGTCCATTAGATAGGGAATATGGTGTTTATTTTAAATATACCAGGTGCAATATTACAGAATCTGAGTGTTCTCAGAGATGCTCTGAAATCCATGAAGAGTTACAACAAGACTTAGAATTTCTTAGTGTCTCTCCTCTTACAACATGTATTACGTTTTAGATCATGACAAGCAATAATTGTAAGGTACTTACGATTCATCTCATACATAGATGTCTTTCTAATCATTTTTGGAGTTGTAGAGTAGTTTGAATCCTGCTCGACTTTCCACAAAGTCTTCGGGATCATTGAGTAGCCCTATGTTGAACTGAACAAAGAATGAGTAAAACATGTAATGCTTAAGACCATGGATTTACGTTTATTCCAAGGCTTGCCAGAGGTTTTGAACAGCACATATCGATCTGCTTCCTGAGTGTGAGCTTTGGATACATACCGAGATGATCTCTCTGCAATTATCTGGTCGAGGAGTGACTGTGGAAGAAAAACGTTTGTATCTTAGGTTATTAATACTACAAAACAGTGGAGCGTTTTACTAATTTGCAGACATCTGGTCTGTTATTGATTTATGTGCTGCGAAAAGTGTTAAAATTATATTTATCAAAGACTTAATGGGGAAATAACCATCAGCAAATCCTTTTCAGAATAGATACGCTCCTCTCAACAGATACAAAAAAGGCTTAGTTTACGCTCTTGTTACAACATTATAACTATAGTATAAGTCACAAAAACCAGAAGCTCTACAGTCGTATACCAGCGAGTGAGCAGAAAAAACAGAGAACACACAAGACTGCGAATAGGCATTAAGAAGACGAAGGTAATAAAGAAAGCCAACCAATACCACCAAACACCAATCACTGACAACGGGAGAAGTCCGAAGGAAGTCAGCTCTTTCGCTTATTTAGGCAGTATCGTTCAACTACGGGTGGCATAAATCAGGATGCGGAAGGCAAGATCAGAAAAGCAAGACAGACCTTCGTCAGTATGTAATCAGTGCACAATCTGATACAGTCAGCATAAAGAACGAGATTCGGATTTTCAACACTAATTTTCATCCATTTCTTTTACATGGGTCTGAGAATTTGCGCGTCACGAAACACATTTCCAGCAGCCTGCTTCAGAATTTCATCAATAGCTGTCTTCGCTTCAGAATGAAGATCAGGTGGCTGGAAGGATAAGCAGCAGAGAACCCTGGTAGCAGACTCATCGTGAAACTACTATCCAACAAATATGGCTAGGAAAGTGAAGATGGATCGGACACACACTGAAGAGACCACTGAATGCAATCATTTGTGTTGCCCTCGAGTGGAACCCGAATGGGAGACGACTAGCTGGGAGTCCGAGAGTGACTTGAGGGTAAACGTGTGAGGAGATAAAGGATTATAAGCAGTTGTGGGTCCATTTGGAGATGACTACAGAGAATGGGACTAAGTGAGGATGTGCTGTTGAAGCCCTATATTCTACTCGGAAACCCAGGAAATTGCAACAGTATTAATTCAACGGTATTAATTCCTAACCTATTTAAATTCATCATGTGGTGGATAGTTTAGTCAATCCTTAGATACTTGTATCGAAATACGATAGTGTCACATCTGCGACCACCACTAATAATGTCTTTTAAAGCACAAGCTTCCTAAGCCCTTCTGAGTTTTGGCGGAGAAATTCTGGCCAGCCACATGAAAATTATCCTTCAAATATAAAGAATTAAAACCTAAACTACATACACTTCTTTATTTCCTCAATCGAACTATGGGACTTAAGATCTACTGTTGTTTTATACAATCGCTTGTCAGAAGTCATACCTTGTGGCGCTGGTTATAGCAGTAGATATGGAAAACAGATTTAAAGAGTTGGGATGTGCTTATATCAGGTCATTGATTAGTCTGCGGACTTCATTATCTAAGAAAGTTTCTACCTCTGTTACTTGTGGTGATATCTAGTCCTTATAGGAATCAGAAAACAATTTCAACGAGCTCAAAATGGTTAGTAATGGAGTACTTTTTTGATTATCCTCTAGGTGTTAACAGCGAAGTCCGTCGCTTGCAGGACGAGAACGAGTCTTTAAAAAGGTAGACTCCTCAATAAACTTATGTTCTTAGATCGTTAAAGCATATGGAGTATGTCATGAAAGGCAAAGAAATGGAGATATGCGGTTTGCGTAAGTCAAGTTTAAAAATACTAAGTCTCTTAGGTCGCCAAGTACAGAGCTCTTCTTTTGGGGGAGCTATGTGCACTGCATGCTCCCGAACAGCTAATGTCACAGCTGACTCGTTGGGTGCTGAGAGATGCAAAACAAAGTCCATCTTAAATCATAAACGTCCTCATTTGAATGCAAGCTGTTTTGTCCAAATTAGTTAATGTAGTACCTTTTCCCATTTATATGGCTATCTCCGTCTGTAAGTCTATACATATATGTGTGTATGTGTAAATCGGACAGAAGTTCTGCGCCACTCAAATACATCAATACGACTGCGGTAGTATTGAATAGTGTAGATTTATAGTAACAGCCGACGGTAATGTGAATCCCGTTCACATCCTTCCTAGTGCAGTGCCTGTTACACTCATATGACTAATTCTGTAGATCACCTGTGATAATCAGAAGTCGTTTCCATTATGAAACTAAGAAAAACAATGTTTCAGAAATCAGTAAAGTGAATATCAAAATTAAGATGTAAGACCACTGTACAAAATCGATGAAATTTTCTCACCTTGAATAAGACTAAACGGAAATGCACAAGATGATTGCAATTATAATTAGTTGAAGTGAACGTCATGAATATAGGTGGGAGGGTAGCGGAGAAAACTGCAACTAATGCCCAACTCGTATGCTTCTACTAAAATCGCAATAATTTTGTGTGATAATCCTGACCCAACTTCTAAAAAACAGTTCTTAAAATGAACCTGCAGGCCTTGCTGCACTTAATTTTCAACTTAAATTGAGCTGGGTGTCAAACATTCCTTCAATTTGCGGATAAACAGGTGACAATTGTATTATTTCTAAGATCGAGTTGAATCTTCCCTCTAAGCAGCTTGTTTATTTGTGGAGTCCTCGAAAATAAACTTATCCAAATTTTACTATTATGTAAAAAATGAACATATTGTACACTACTTTGTTTTAACCAAAAACTCTGTACTTTGAACTTCCCTCGAGTTTTAAATAAGTATATAATTCTGCCTTGGACTCTCCGTCTTCTCCCCCATCTCAACTGCCGTCGATCAATTATAACAACCTGCCTTCTATCTCAAATTTTTGCAGGAGCACCGTAGACTCTTCCTACGCACTTTGGTCGACCTCCGGCAACGTCAACACTGGAGAATTAGAACTGGAGCAGTCTTCCCGCAGCACTTCTGGAATCCATTACGTTTATTGTGGAATTTGGATCTTTGTAAACCCAAGTAACAAAACTTTAATATATTCTTCCCGTAACTAAACTGATTTGGTATTTTATTTTCTATTTGAATTTGGGTTAATAAGCTAACAGAGCAAAAGGTCCACCACATCTTTACAATCTCTTCTCTTGCATGGGGACTTTGACCCATGTTGCTAACCCTTAGTTTTCTAACTTTCTTAGTAACTGAGTTGACTTTTTGATCTTACCTGCGCTGCATTTTTCATTTCTTTGGTTTTCCCTACTTACAATCTGCGTTTATAAGTTTTCGGCCTACAACTAACCTGCCCTATTACTTCATTGTCATCTAAGCTTACAGAAATACATTTTTGTATCTGCTGCTTCTCAAGAAGATGCAGAAATAGGTCTTATTTAGCTATTTTTGCAAGACGAGAAACAGTAGATGGAGCAATGCCAGACTTCTCCAAGACCAATAACTGTTGTGTCTCACCACTGATCGTTTCTTCAAATCCAGTATTAATATTCATTTTATCAAAATAAGACCATTCGAACTTCTCATCTGTTTTTCTTTCGTGTGCACTTGGGTGAGAATAAACGTTCGTAGTAACTAGTGCATGAGAACTGCCTACGTATGCCCCAGGAAAATATGTAGTTGTTTTCATAACAGTTGTGATCTGGCAAGTTGCATATTTTGAAAATTATGGCTGAACTGTGCTCGTAAATTTTTCCTTGATATTTGAAAGACTTCAGCATCAGATGGTGCATCCGTTTCGACCTCGAGCAGCAGTATCAAGCAACCAATCAACAAACGCCCATGTGCCCAAGACACTGTGATGGAGAGTATCCTGGACAACCATGTCAACACAACACCTACTGGTAAGTACTTTACTGATACGCATTATTGTTTACTGTATCAGATATTCATTCGAACAGAAACTGCATTACACTTTACATCACTGACTTTCGATAACTACTTCCTCGGCAGTTTTCTGTGGTTTTCCACCTTTGTCGCAGTTGGATAACAAGACTGAAATAACTAGTCTGGTGAGAGCTTTCTAAACTAATTTAATGTGATCGCATGCACGTGATAAGTTCCTGTAAGCCCTGATATTTGCTAAACAAACAAAGCCTACGATTTAACATTGCAGAATGTCGTGGTGTTCAGTTTCATTTCTATCAGAACCAGCAGAATTAAGACCAGTTGACTCATCAGCGCGAATCCATGCACAAAATCGCACACTCTAGAAAAGTACACATGAAACTAAGGAAAAAATGTATTTCACCAAACTTTGTCAGGAAAGTTAGTGACTCGAGCTCTTTGACTTCATTGGAGGACTTTCCCTTCTTACCTAACACTACGCGTAGCCTCATTATGACTAACCATGGTGCTCCGCTCAAAATGATTGTGAATGTGGTCATCTTGTTAATAACTGCTTGTCATTTCTTACCTCCCGCTTTCAACGACACCTCAGCTGATGGATGAATGGATATCACGCTAACACCAGTATATGTATATATATATGTATGCATAGTGTAACTGTATACATGTTATTGGACAAAGTTACGCTGCTTTCCCTCCTAGATCAGAGATGGCTTTTGCGACTTGGGCTGTACTAAGAGGAAACTCAGACGGGGTTTTGATGGCAGGCAGTTGTAGTACAGCTGCTTACTAATTGTCTGCATACTGCACGATGTTCCAGCTTTCTCATCTTAGGTATTTATTCTCCATCGTCCTCTAATCTCACTCCACTTCCCATAAATGAAGAAAGGAAATATTACCCAACTTCCACTTGCGTTTCCATGCAGTTGGCATACCCCTATTGTTTGACGACTAATCATACTACCTTCCTGCTCAAGCCTCTCTGTGGGCTGCGGGATTCAAATTCGCGACTTAGTGGTTGCCAGTCGGGCGCCTAAAACAGTAAACAACAGCTCAACTAACTATAGGTATTTTAGTGCCCATTTCCCTAAATGAGCTTAGACGGTTAACAGGTATTACCTATTGCTGATGCCGTTTCAATTTCCTACACTTTCCTCATCCACTAGTACCAGCAGTCGTTACGAAAACTTTTCGTAAGGTTTCATTTGATAAGCTCTCGACGCTCTTCAACGTCCCCGGAGCCTACAGGAACCAGTCAGTCCGGACAAAGCTTCAGATACCTAGTGACATTCTCTAACTTTTGCCTACAGCTTACCAGCAGCCTTTAACATTCTCTGAAGTAATCTAGGTATGATATCCGGATTCCTGAGGCACGTAAAGGTCTCTCAACTGCTTGTTTTCCGTGTCCGTTCACCTACCGACATATATGTGCACGAATGAACAAATGATTGAGGTTCAAGTTTATGTTTTAGAATGAACGGCGATCCTCTTCACCTACAGATGGTTTACTTCTTACCGTCGTTAGCCTAATATGGGTGGTCGCCAGTTTAAATACTGTCTCTGTGTGTGAAATTATTGCTGACCAGTGACAAGTAGTCATCTGAATAAATTTGAAAAAGACGGTCACCATTGTTTATTCCTCAGTACAAGCCGTAACAGATGCTCCAGTATACTTTACGAGGAGGTTCAAATTTCCTTTTTCAGTGTTTCAGCCTTGGCAACAAAGTAGGTAGCTTCTGATAAATTCATCGTTCCCTTCCGAAACTGCTGTTAGTTCGTGGAAAGATATCCATGGAAAGCACTATCTTAGCAGTATAGATTCATTAAGCCAGACAACGTGCACACAGCTATCCAGTGGGATGCAGTCGAGTAGGGAGTTTTCAGCTTGCGATCGCAATACTATCACAGTAGCAGAAAGTCTGCGAGGACTAAGCAGAGAATCAACTAATCCCCATAAGATATCATGAAGATTAAATTAGGTTGCAAACAGAAATCTTGTTCACTTATGTTGTTACTTCGTAGCTGCTGCTGATACAGCAGATGATTTCTTATTGAATTGTCTAAATGAGAGAAAGCATTAGTGTTGTGTGATCACATAGTCCAGGTAACTGCTGTAGACCAATCATGCGCCCTGTTTTGAAGCGTTTTTAAAGTTGCATCCATTAAGAATATACTTCTAACTGTTGACCGTTATGAGATGTGTTGCGTTGACCTTTTCTAATGCTTTTCGAAAGTGAGGAACCAGCATAGCTAGCTGCCTAGTAGAAACACCAATCTTCTGATACACTGCAATTTACCAACAGGTCTGTCCCTAACTAAGACCTGTATACGAAAAGAAAGACAAGTCTTCCTTTGATAATCATAGAGGGATTGGCTTGACTAGTATGGTATCTAAAGTTCTAGGCTCAATATCCATATGTAGATCAGGGGGTGCTCGGGAGAAACAAACACGAGTAAACCAGTGTAGCTTTAGACCAGGAAGAGGTTATATTAGTCAGATTTTCGCCCTTCGGCAGATTATGGAACATGGGCCGTATTTCTTGACACGAAGGCTAAATTTGATTCCGTCAGTCGAGCGGTATTATGACAGTGTTTGCCAGTGAAGGGATTGCGGAGGAAGTACATCATACCGCCCAAGGTACTCTGCTCACACTCATGCAGCTGTGTAAGGGTTCATGGAGAGTTTTCATCTGAAGTGAAGACAACCAGTGGTGCCCGTGACAGATGACCACTGTCCCCATTCCTATTTAAATTCATCGTAGATGTACTAACAGAGTCATGGTCGGATGCATTCACTCTTTGTGATTTATCACATCTTCCATATTACTCTTTTCCCCTCACACTTCTCTTTACTGTCTTCTCTTGCATTGTGTGCTACATGGAGTGTGGCAACTCGAACTGCTGCACATCTGTGCAAAGTTCTACGTTGAAACCAGTCAGTATCCGTCATGGATATTACTTTAACCAACAGAGACAATCTAGGTTTGATCACAGGTAATATTATGGTATCCATAAAATATCGTATTGACAAGATGGCGTTTTTCCATTTCTGAACTAAGCAGGATTCTCATTGCCTTGAAACTTACTTTCAAACGAGATTTTAATGACCTGGTAATTTGTATTTCTTCTTGATTTTAAGTCGTTTGGAAAATGATTTTAGCACTTCATATGAACTGCTTTTACATAGTGGTTTGCAATGCGTATTTTCTTCTCAAGTTTGAGTTTGTTATTGTACATCGAAAGTGTATAGTTTTCCGATCAGAGGTAAAGACGATTTTTTCCTTGTAGGCACTCGTAAATCCCCATCTGGGGAAGCTGATCAAAGTCAGCATGATGAAACATCTAACACCGAATCAACAACACTAACGAATAGTGTGTTTCCCGTAGCCTCACTCAGTCCACCTTCAGAAATATACGATGCATCCTTAGCGATTAAAAATGCCGTAAACCACAATGATTTGGCAGATTACGATGCTACATGTCGAGATTCTTCTATGCAAGACCAACCACAATTGCCAAAAAAGCTGAGTCCGTAAGTTTTATATTGCACGAAGCATTTTTCTTTGGTTAAATAGGATGTCTGAATTGTAAAAGTTTGAGAATCAAACAAGATATGGCTATTGCGATTACTAGTTTGTAAGGTAGTGCAGATGTTAATATAGTTGTTCCCAACTGAGACTTCAGGAAATCTGCACTCGTCGAGGACAATCTAGAATCTGTGTTCAGCGGAAAATGTATGTAGACGAAAAAAACATTTACTCATCAACACTTATACAACTAATCCTATCTTCTAACAACATGGATTGTAGTTGTATATCTTGACTTATTGCACCATACGATTTTGAATGAATGTTTTTTGTTTGCCTGAATACGTGTATTTAATTGGGAGGTAATGATGTTTGGAAAGTGTTTGATTTAATTGTCGTTATGAAATTTCACATTGAAAGGAATAATTAAATTTCAGGGAATGCCGAAGGAAGAACGTGAAATTATATCAATACATTAATTGGCTATTTGGATGTAACCAATGTTATTTGTCTAATACTTTGTGTTGGTGCTGACTGAATTCTCTCAGTCGGGTTTGCAGTATGGTCACCAAGCTGGGTGACCTGCAATTACCTTGCACTTCTAGTTGAGATCAGTTGATTTGTGTCTCTGAACTGTGTGCCTTTCTTGTGCGAGGTGTATTTTCTACCAAAATGTTATGTAAGGAAATTTTCGTGATAATTTCAAAAAAAACTTTTATTCGTGTTTCGCCTACTAGATTCGTCTCTGCGTGTAAGATTACGGTATTTTGGCTACACCATTGAAACGAATTACAACAGTTTCCAACCTACACTCCTAAATCCAAAAATCCCTATTCTCTGTGTAAATACTTTTGTGAAAATATTTCATATATATTTTACTCGGGTGTAGTTACATTTCATTGAAACAATTTACCCAAAATTTCGAAAAAAATTTAAATCCTTTATTAAAATGGGTTCCTGTTCGTTCCTAGGCACCAGCTTTTATACAAAAGACGAAGCAGGCCCGTCGGCGCTGAGTCTGCCCCACATGAAATTATTAACAAGCTATCGGCAAGTGGTTTTAAGGCGAAACACAAACATCGACCTTCCTGTCGTCACTTTCGCCCTACTGTTCGAACCAAGCCAAAGTGCGACGATACAGGTGAGGACGTAAGTTCTCCATCTGGCTTTCTGGAGACAGAAGGATCTGAAAATCCTCTTCCTTCAACGTCTGTAACCAACGGTAAGTTTGTTTGGGAATGTAGATAACTTGATCTTTCAGTGAATTAACTTGGTATGTATACATATTTATTTTCGCAGTGGCGTATTTTAATAGTTGGGCTATTTCATTCACCTATTCCCCTTTATGAATTTGAGTAAAGCAAACAACGGTTTCAGCCGAATAACATAATTTTGTTTCGTCCGTTTCTTGACAGCTGGATACAGCCTGAAAAATTATTAGGCATGTATGCAGAGGAGTTTTAACGTACTTGCGAAGGCAATATGATGTCAGTTTATAGAAGGCTGTAATCATAAATTGTACTCCAAGGCATTTAGAAGACAAATGCATTATTCAAATTTATCAAAGGAACTGATTTTTCTAACTTATATATAACTTTAAAAAATCAGATGCTTCGTTCATTAACCCGCAAAGAAGATTCCTGATCATTCGTTAACGACTGGCTGCATATAATGTGAATGATAAATTTTAGTTAGTTGAAAGCCTGGGCCATAATAACGTTTCCAATCAGTTCATATTGTTATTTGGTGTAACTCTGGATCATAAGCATCCTGATTCATGAGACCATCTTTATTATTTGTTAGCATTTTGGACTTCTTCCTGTACAAGTGCTGGAATTTAAACCCCTACTAATTGATGTGTAACAAGGATGTGCTATTCCGATTTGATAATACTGTCTACCGTCAAGTAGATGATATAGCTATGGTTAATCCACTAGGAGGTCCTGTATTAACAAACACCATGTTTAATTTAAAGAGAACAAAGCTTAAATGTGCAATCGACGAAACAGCTTATCGTCGATGTGTTGATAACACATTCGTGACAATGGAACCTATGCATCCTATCTACTTGGACCATTCAGTGATACACATGGAAATACTGAGTTTACTGTGGTACATAAAGGTAATGGGAAGTTGCTTTTTCTTGACTTTGCCGTGCAGTGCTTGAGAGATCCGTTCAGTGAAAGTCTGCGTGGAATGAACAATTTATAAGTCTCACTAGTTTTTGTTCGTTGAACTGTAAACTAGCATATGTCAAGACCGTGTTTTGCAGAGTGAAGGTTATGCTCCATTGAAAAATTGGAAAAAATAGTGGATTTTGAGATGTAACAGTTATTCACACGAATTCGTTAATAAGTAAGGAAGGTCTGAAGATATAACTGCAAGACATCACGGTGATTTTAAAGGTGATAATTTTATTGGGACAGTCAAGAGAAGATTGAACACTTCACTAGTCATAACATAAACTAATCTACAGCTGAGTTGGATCCTGTTTACCAAGGGGCATGCTCTTTGGTGCAATCACAGGTCAGTAGTTAGTCTCCCTATGTTAATTCTAACTTTGTATTCAGATTTACTTGTATTTTTAGTAGCAGTTATATTGTAGAAAAGAAAGATAGCACACTTTAGGTTCTCTGAATATTTACTGAAAAGCCTACGACTCAAGGGAGGTAACGCTTTCAACAGTCATGAAGTAAATATCTCAAAGTTATCAGGTCTGTCGAAGCTACTGCTATCAAATGTTTAAAACCTGCTTTGCGTTCAGAAATAAGCAGTAATCAGTCTTTCTTTGCCGTGGTAACTCAAATTCTTAACTGTTATATTTGATTACGTAATCTTTTGCTTTAACCTCTTCGCTTTTGGTATACTATAATTGGTTTTCTTTTTGTAATATTATTTGAGTTGAACTCATCACATTACGCAAATATAACAGTCACGTATCATCAACTTATCCATCCTTTACCTTTCTTACGTAACCCCCTTTTCAAAGTATCCAGATTTAAAAAAAAGTAAATGTTACCATCTTATTTTACTCAAGCCGTTGTTTTTGGGTTAGAACACTTCGCGTAAGACTATAATGCTACCTTTAAGTTTCCTATGGGTGAGCTGATTTTTTAATATTTTTCTTACTTCATGAATTCTCTTTGTGCATATTCATCCAGAGCATTTCTCAATGAACAATACTGATCAGGTTACACTTAGGTTGAAGAAAAGCAATTCTAAAGAAGGCTTGACAAACATAGCAGTAATCCATGAAGTCTCTAGCTGCTAGTTTTAGCTACGTAGTGAAGTTCCGGATATCTTTGTGGCATCTTAAGCCAGGCTTAGGTTATGCGATTGTCCCTTGGATTATTTGACAGTCAGTAGTAAGAGTATATAAGTAGTATAAGGTTTCGAAATCCATCAGTCTAAATTTTGTTTTCTACACATGTTTGTTCATCGTCGTATCGGTACACTTCTCCTCATTTCTTGTGTTGTTTGCAGTGTAATGACACACTTTTCAATATTCTGCGTTGATTTGGTTATCCGTCTGTCTTATTTTACGTGACGATGCACTCAAAATCAAAACAATAGACCACAGGTGCCTAATCTTATTTGCCTGAACAATTAGTATAAGACATCATATTAAGTGTAACCCATAACTTATGAGATGAGCTTTGGCCAGATGATTGAATTTCACGTTTTCCTGAAATTTCCTGAATAATTGATACCAGCAGGCTGAATGTAAGAAGTAATACTCTGTCTTTCGGCACCTGAATCTGTAAACACAGTTTGTGTATTTCCCAGCATCTCTTCGCCTAAGGTACATGGATGTAAATAATAGTGCCAGTGCCTTACTCAAAACTATTTGAAAAGAATTAACTTAGTTCGTTGCAAAACTGTAATATACATATATATATATATATATAATATATATATATGTATATATGGTGATGTTACTGCATTCAACGGTAAACGCCAAAAGGAAATTGAAGTGTTTTTTATTCACGCAAAACCCAAGCAGTTGATTAGACACTTAACCCTAGATAGGATTTATAGTTGAAGTGATGCCACATTCACATCTCTTCCCTATACATTTACAGAGTCCCCAATGAATCTCAAGTTGAAAATTTATTTACCTTCCATTGGTGGTTCTCCCACTCGTGACGATGCAGGTTTCAAGTGTCCATTACCCCCAAAATGTGGAAATCTCGCCGACAATATACTTCACTCTTCTGCGAATATTAATGCCAAAGTAAGCTGTCTTAGTCTTTAGTTTTCGAAATTAATATCCCTGACAGGGTCTGGAAGTGGCGACAGAGTGAAAACCTATTATGTTTTAACTGTGGTTTGAACTACACCAATACCTTGGTTACCCCTTGACAACAACAAATGCACATATTTTTATTCCAAAATGCGGACGATGTTCTTGTTGGCATATTTTTCATTTTTTCTGAATCACCTTTATTTTTCATGCAGTGTTCCTACGTTTTAATTTGAAGGAACTCAATGTCCCTTCTGAGATAGAAATATGAGTCATTCCATTTGAAAAGGGGGATTTGTTGCTAAGATTGTCTATTTTCCCCTGCAGTATGAGTCTCATCCATAATTTGGCTGGCGAAATTAGCAATTATTGAAGCCGCTGGAGCGGCACAAAGAAGACGTTACTGCTCTATAGCTAAACTCAAGAGGTGTATACGAAGCCATGATGTTTTACGTCAACAAAATAAGAAATAATGACCTTGTCATATGTAGTAGCTTAATTATGTGTTTCAGAGTGTCCAGTTAGTGATGTTGCATCAGATTCACCCATGCTAACAATGCCGATTTCATGGCTTTTTTAGAATTTCTACTCATAATCGTGGAAATTGTACAAACAAAGACTATGATGATCGTTGTATGTTCCAAAATGGTCTTCAATTCATCGTTCACTGGTGTTAAAGTATCCTCCTAATTACTGCGAGGTATCATTTCATCAGACAAAAGCATTACAATTAATTCATTCATAAATAGGAAGTCAGATAACGAAGGTATTTAACTTCCATTGATTTGCGACCGTCTTGAGGAGTTCAATAGGTTTTATACTTTCTCTAATTTAACATTAATATAACACATGTCAAGCATCTTTTGATTATTTTCATGATTTCATTATTAGATCCTAAGAAATTTCCCTAGATTATCTTTAAATTGTTTTTATGAAATCAGTTAGTATTCAACACAAATTCATATTTTCACTGAGAAATTTAATGGATGCCAAGCTTTATTTGGCTTTCTACATATTTGTTGAAATATGCTTTTGCAATCGTGTTGAATTGCTTTTGTATTTTCTATGATTAATTTGATGTAGGATGATGAAGTAAGAGCTGAAAGGTCATTCAATGAAAGACCTCCATCAGCGCCAACAGGCGTTTGGAATCTTGAGTTGGAGCAACGTAAGAGTAATGACAACGATGATGAAAAGGAGAATACCAAAGACGTAGACAAAAATGATGTCGAAAATGCCTCACCTTATATTTTTCGTCGTCGTCACCCTTTAAGCTTTCGTTCAATTCAGGTAGATATGAAACCAATATTAAATTGGTTTCATATCAACCTGAATTGAACGAAAGCTTAAAGGGTGACGACGACGAAAAATATAAGGTGAGGCATTTTCGACATCATTTTTGTCTACGTCTTTGGTATTCTCCTTTTCATCATCGTTGTCATTACTCTTACGTTGCTCCAGTCAAGATTCCAAACGCCTGTTGGCGTTGATGGAGATCTGTCATTGACTGACCTCTTACTTTATCATCCTACATTAAATTAATCATAGAAAATACAAAAGCAATTCAACACGATTGCAAAAGCATATTTCAACAAATATGTAGAAAGCCAAATAAAGCTTGGCATCCATTAAATTTCTCAGTGAAAATATGAATTTGTGTTGAATACTAACTGATTTCATAAAAAAAATTTAAAGATAATCTAGGGAAATTTCTTAGGATCTAATAATGAAATCATGAAAATAATCAAAAGATGCTTGACATGTGTTATATTAATGTTAAATTAGAGAAAGTATAAAACCTATTGAACTCCTCAAGACGGTCGCAAATCAATGGAAGTTAAATACCTTCGTTATCTGACTTCCTATTTATGAATGAATTAATTGTAATGCTTTTGTCTGATGAAATGATACCTCGCAGTAATTAGGAGGATACTTTAACACCAGTGAACGATGAATTGAAGACCATTTTGGAACATACAACGATCATCATAGTCTTTGTTTGTACAATTTCCACGATTATGAGTAGAAATTCTAAAAAAGCCATGAAATCGGCATTGTTAGCATGGGTGAATCTGATGCAACATCACCCCGACCGAAAGCTGCTACCTTGACGTGGTGGTCGGGCTTGAACACTGCAATGACCCAACAAGCTATACTGGCTGGAACTTATGTTCCTGCAGGTCCTACCATGCCAGAAAGGTTGTTTGGATAGCAGTTAGACTAAAAGCAGTTACCCAATCCAATCCTATGATTTCAAATAAATCACAAAATATCATGCCGGATCGGTCGGGGCCCGGATTAACAACGACCGCGCTTTCTGCTGCCGTGTCACAGGGCAGAAGTGATAAATACGCTACTGAGACACACCAAATAAAGAAGAACAAACAGAAACAGGCCGTGTGTGACCGGCCTCAAGCAGTTGTCCCCCTGGGCTCTGCGGTCACGCAACCAACTTCCACGGTGTGGGCAGCCGGGAAGTAACAATCGCCCTCACAATCCGAAGTGCACGCGAAACCTCTCTCATCCTCACTTATCTTTGTCTTCATCTTGATCTCTATTATCTTGCCTTCCTTCTACCAATGCAACTCCTCTACTTGTTGGCTCTTCACTTCCTCTTCACTCTGTGCGCACTGATAACGATGGAAGCCAAAAAGCCACCATCGATGGTCTCCTAAAACCACGCCTCCAATTTTATGTAAGGGCATTTAATGTTAGGACACTTTGCCAAATAGGACAACAAGCATCACTAGCCAAGACTCTGGCATCCCGAGCCATTGATGTATGTTGTGTTTCAGAAACACGCATACAAGACCCAAGTGTGGTTATTCACCTGGCCAACAGGATGAATCTGCAAAATTCACCTTAAGGGT